TGTTCCCTATTCTTACACTGTGTAATACAGCTGTTTCTACTTTTAAAAAGTCAAAAATTTAGGAAGTTGCCAGTCAAATCCACCTTCTCCCATCATTTAAGTGCCTTGCAGTGGCAGGTGGACCCTCGTGCCAGCAGAGATGGAGAGCAGCTAAAGTTAAGCTGCATTTCCACCAGCACAACCAAATTTCCTGTTTTTTTTTTTCCCTTGAAATACTGAATTTAAAATCCAGCAAACAAACAAGCGGGGAGCCTCTCCTCTCAAACAAGTGATCAAATCAACCTTTATGGCCCATTTGTGGAAATTTTGCACCTGACAATCTCCCAGCTGGCCCTCAAAAGCCCACGTGCCACCTTTGTCCCTCTGGAAAAGGCTCTGCTATTCTCAGCCTCACCTTTGAAGCTGCAGCAGTAAAAGCCTGCTAATATTGAGGATTTGTGGCCAGGCAGAAGTGTGCAATTTAATCATGATTGTCTGCAGCCTTTAGTTTGCAGTGCATTTGCTATAGCTCATATTTAAAAGAAGGCAAAGTGAAACTAATTATCTTTAATTAAGGCGAATTAGGCTTTGATTTTTAATATATTTTTTGCAGAGAGAGAGAAAAAAGAGAGAGAGAGATCTCCAACTCATCTGCTCCAGCCAAGGAATGTCCCAAAGGTTATTAGGGCATATTTCTGGTGGGCCTGGTGGTGTCAGTAATAACCTTCCTCCTCGTGGTCCTCGCCACCACCAGCAAATGTCACTTCATCAGTCTCCCTTTCCCGGCTCCTGCCCCTCCGCAGGGGTCGCAGATTCCACAAGTTATCAGCTAATGGCCTTATACATTAAAAATTGAAGCTTTCCCCACTCCCAGGCCTTGCAAGGCTTTGTTCTTAAGCCCCAGACACTTCGGAGTGCAGCTGCAAACTATAGGCAGAAGATTAAATTAATTTGTAACTCTTTTTTTTTTTTTTTTTTTTCCTCTCTCCTTTTTTTTCCTGGCCTGCATTACTAAATCCTGCACATTTAATTGAAACCCTACTTCAAGATGCTTTGTGTTCCTGCTCCTCTTTGTTGGCAGTTTAACCTCAGAAGCACTTTAAACGCTGGTAAATTGCTGTTATATCCTTTTGGATTCCTTTTTTTTTTTCCCCCTTTATTTTTTTTTTTTTTTTTTTTAAACTCTGCAATAAGAGGACAGGGAAATTGATATTAGAAGGGAAGAAAAATCTTCCCGTAGTTTTTTGAGGTATTTAATAATTTATTAAGGTCCATACCCTGCAGAGTTTCAGGTGATTTTGAGCCCATCTATCGAGGAATGTATAAATTGATGCCTTGGAATGGAATTTCACCGAGGGAATTTTATGTTATCCAGTAGTTAAGTCTGATTTTTAAAGTTTCCCGTGTCTGGATGTTCCGAAGTGGCGGCTGCTTTTCCATAAAACGGGGGTTTAACTGCAGTGCACAATCTAAATGCAAAATCCTTGGATGGAAATTTAATTGTGGAAAATGTGCACGAGGTAATTAAGAACAAATTTTAGAACATTCCAGCCTATAAAGCCCCTCCTTCAGCTCCATCACTTGGCGATATGGGAAGTGCTTATTTTCAATTTGCAGTTATGCTGAGAAACATGGAATGTGTCTAAATTAAGAATAAAAGCATCCCGTGCTTTCCAGTGGAACTGTAAATTAAAAAACAACTTGCACAACATCCACAATCATCTAAGTGGGAAACTTTATTGCCTGAGCATCCTAAAAATGTGTTTTGCACTTCCTTCCCTCAGACACTTTGCAAACAGGGTACAGAGCGAGCTGTTGGAATTTTATTCACAATGTACAGCAGGCAAGGAGGATCTCTGTATTTCCCCTTTCCAGTTCCAGAATGGGAAATTGCAGTATTTCAACAAGTCATTTTAATTTTGTGATCGCTTTTCTGCACATTAAATGTGCCTGAGAACAGGTTTCAGTTGTTTTCCAGCCCTGCTTGTGGGAGCTCATTGCAGAGGCTTTATGGTTCTTTTTGCTTTCCTCCTTTTCTTATGTGGGATAAACACATCATCATTTGGGATTTTGATTTTTTTTTTTTTTTAAATTTTAACTGATGTCAAAATTTGATAGTTTGACATAAATCAGCATCCAAGCACGCTGTTATTTCATAATCTGGGGTTATTTCTCAGTTTGTCAAGTGCTGGGTTAAAATGTGATGATCCATCCATCCACCCTCTGTCCAAGTCTGGGGGAGGCTCCTTCTCACTGAGCACCTGCAGTGGTTTCGAGTGCTCTCATTTTAAGAGCTACTTTTGTGTTTAAGAAAGGAATTCCTTTAAAAACACACACACAGAGCCCCAAAAACCCCTCCATGTAGCTGCTCCCAAGTGAAATGGGGTGGGAAGGGGTTATTGTGGAATGTTTCTTGCAGATTAATCTGATTCTCATTCCTATCTCCACACCATCCTGCCCTTGCAATTCCCTGGGCCTTTGGGAAACGATGGTTTTTACTGTTCTTGTGTAGTGGGAATGAAACCACAGCATCATTTGGGTTGGGAAAGACCTCCAAGATCACCAAATCCAACCGTTTGGGAGGAATCCCTAGGGAAGTGGGAACCAGCTCCTTGAAGTTCAACCATTCCCTCATCTCCAGAGCGCCATAAAACGCTGATCAGTTCCCAAACCCAACTGGTGTGAGTGGAAATATTATATTTTTGTGATGATACCTTAAAAAAACCAGCAAGTCCTGGAGTTTCATCACGTGAACGCAGAGCAGAGAAGTTTTGGGCAGTGTGTTAGTTTGGAAGTTTATGTTTTTTTCTTTCCTACACTGGGCTTGTGCCTCCTGTGTTTGTATGACTTGCTTGGACACGTGACAGAGTTTGTAAATCCCTTTAGTGAAGCTCTAATCTGTTTGTTTTGGGGGATTTTTTTTTCTTTCCTTCAACTATGACACTGTTTATAAATCTAAGTCTACGTACAGAGGTCACTGGTTGGCTGAACTTAAACCATTTTCCTTAGTAAATTTAATTAAGAAAATACAGTGCAACTCATAAGCAAATGAGTTTTTTCCTAGTTTTAAAGCAAACCACCCTCTCGAGTGCTGATTGCCTCGCTCGACCCCTGGTGATACAGAAACAGGCAAAATTAAAAAGGACATTAAAGCTTCATTAAATCTGAAACACATTTAGTACAGTGACATATCTGCAGGCTATTTCGGGGAAGATTACAGACTCTTTGCTAAGTTTCTTAATTTATAATACCTTGACAATCTTGCAGGGAGGAAACAAGTCTGGGGAGACGAATCGAGGGATGGTTCAGGGGATGCAGAACTGGCTCCTCAGTCCAGGAGCAGCTTCACAGAGAAAACTGTTCCCTTTAAACAACCCCAAAAAAAACTTGTTGCTGGTGCATTTTGGATCCTTCCAAGCTCATTTATCCTCCCTGTACTTACATCTGGCAGGAAACTCCTCTCTCCCCAGTTATTCTGCTGCCTTTGGAGCCCCTGCCCCAAAGGTGTGGTGTGGTCAGGGAGAGGGATCATGGGTGGGAATGGGAATGCTGAGTCTGGAGTCACCTTGGAGGGTTTTTTCTGCTTTACTGACATTTTCAGAATGATGCTCTGTGCATACAACCATCATCATCTTCTTCTTTTGCAGTAGGATAACTCTTACATTCCCTTACTGTTCTTGAGCCAGGAGTTCTTGGATAACTCAGGGCTTACTCTACTTCTGTTCATGGAAAAATGCTGGGCATTTATAGTTTTATTTCTAGGCATTCATAATTTTATTTCTAGGCATTTATAGTTTTATTTCTAGACATTTATAATTTTATTTCTAGGCATTTATAGGTCATTGCAGCAGCAGGGCTTTTTAGGACCTCAGGCAGCTGCTTGGAACATAAGGATGGTCCTCCCAAAAGAAGAGAAGATGATAAAGGGCATGTTTTAGTAACTCCTGGTTTATAAGACTGAGTGTAACAGAGAATTTAGGGTCTCTGCTTAACTCTTAGCAGCATTTTTCAGAGCCTGCCATGAGGGTGACCCGAGTGACTTTTCTGAGATGAGGATGATCATGGAATTCCAGGATGGTTTGGGTTGGAAGGTTCAAGATCATCTTGTTCTGCCTGTGGGCAGGGACACCTTCCACTATCCCAGGTTGCTCCAAGCCCTGTCCAACCTGGCCTTGGACACTTCCAGGGATCCAGGGGCAGCCACAGCTTCTCTGGGCAGCCTGTGCCAAGATCTCACCATCCTCAGCCAACAATTCCTTCCCAATATCCCATCTATCCCTGCCCTCTGGCAGTGGGAAGCCAAAATAGTAGCCAAAATAACTTAAACTACTTCCATTTTGCTGAAATTGTTTCCAGGGTTCGGATATCTGGTGGGAGAACCTGTCTAGTACAAAGAATTTCTCTTGGAGAAATTTTTATGAGCTGTAGGATGTTGTTTACACAATCTAAACAAGAATATTGGGTTTGGGACTACTCTGGAAGGCATTCATTGACTTACTCAACAGCAGGGGCAAGAAATGCCGTTGGTACCATGGGCAGTCAGAAGGAGACGTGGAGGAGAGACGAGGTGTCTGTTTGTGGGTGCCGTGGTCTCCCTGCAGATCCCACCCTGGGTCTGACACCAACAGGCACACAAAGCTGAGCTCTGTAACCCAGATTTTACCCTGAGCCAGTTAAGGAAGGCCTCTGGAGTTGGTGCTGCTCCACAATCCCTGCTCTCTGCAGATGATTATCAGCAAAGGGCAGTGGTGTTGAGAGGCTGAACTGGTTTCATTTCCAGTGCTGGGGAACTTGGGCATCAAACAGAGTCTGCCAAAAGGGTTTGGGAAGCTCAGAAACCCTGGGTGGAGCCAGGGGTGAACGATCCATTCTAAATACAGCTCTTTGTGTGCTGGCACAATCCCTTCCACTGCCATTTCCCAATTTACACAATGGGAAGAGTTGAGTACTTTTCTCTCTGTAAGGAAATGTGCCCTCCATGCAAATCTCTATAACTAGACAAATATTATTTCCTTTCCCAGCTTGCTCTTGGGAGGTTTCCATATCCTCAGGTAAGATTGTTCATTACTGCTGTTTGCCACTGTGACATTCATTCCTATGTATGAAGGTGCAGAGAGCAATTGTGAACATTTGAGCCACATACAAATAAATCTGTCCTGTTAAATTGAAAAGTGGGATCTGGAAGGAGTCATTTAGAAGTCTCTATTGATTCTTTTTTTTTTTTTTTTTCCTTTTCAAACTCGACGTTTTCTTTCCCTGGAGACAGTGAAAATTATGATGATGTTAATGATGGTTTTGGTGTGGGATTAAAAAATAATCCTGTGTATGCAACAGCACCTTTATTTAAGCAGAAAGGTGGATCTGCTCCTCTTTATTATAACTTAATTTTTAATTCCAATTTTGAGTGATGGCACAATGTTCTAAAATCTCCTCAAAAATGTACTGTGAATGGGACACTTAAGGGAGCTCTGGATTTTCCCATTTAAGAGGACTTAAAATTAGTATTTTATTTAGATACTGGCATTTTTCTGACTCTCCACCTGAAGTTGGTGGTTAAACTCTTTCCATCTCCAGTGGCAAAGGTTGGGCTGATGCTGAGCCCCGAACCACCATGGAATATTTTACTCTGTCTGCTTGAAAAACCGTGAAACTCTGAACAAAACAACCACTCCAGAACTGGGTCTGATGATTACTTTAAATTCTTGAGATGGATGTTAGAATTCACAGTAACAAACTGCTCGGCAGTTCCTCAAATTATTCTTTCCTGGGAGAGAGGGAGGGAGGGGGAAAAAGTGAAGCATCCAGGGACTAAAATGAATTATTTGGATGTGGGTTTGATGTTTTCATATGTTTTATGGAGACTGTTTTCTGCATCTTGGTCTGTACAGATCCCAGTGCCTGGAGGCAATGTCTGATTTAAAGGTGGTGTTGGTCTGTGCTCTTTAAGCATCTATTAACTTGCTATTATTATGCAAATAACTGTTGTAATACACATACTAATTTATGCATGGTTAGATTATGCAGATGCCTCACAAACATGGTTATTGAATAATAGGCTGGGACTCATTCTCTCTCCCATTTTTATAAGCTGTTTTAAGCCAATTCTCCTGACGCTTTTTTTTTTTTAGGGGCTTGGGAAGGTTTAGCGTGTGTGGAAACACTCTTGGTTTTTCGCCTCCTCATCTCCTCTGGAAAATGTTTTGCTGCCACGATTAATAGAGCATCCTTTGCATATTTTATCTCTGGTTTAAACCTACCTTTTGAAGGGAGGGTTGAAAGGGAAGCTCTTGTGTTGCAAAGTCCTCCCTGCGTTGGGGAACTCACCGAGGGGCTCGACGTCCGTGTGCTTTATGACCTTAAAATCAAAAAAGTGATGTGGGGGATAATTTCAGATCACCCTGTGGAAGTGGCAGAGCAGGGGGAGGGAAGCTGGAGCCTGGATATTCCATCCGATTTGGGCAAAAATTCCTCCCTGAACTGGGAGCAAACCATGATTGCAAGTTTAAGATGCTTTTTTTTGCTGTTCTAATTAAAAAACGGAGCGGGTTTGTAAAAGAATATTTGGCAAGTCAGTAGCCCATGAAATTGTGTATATTTTTTTAATGTAAAACAGTTGAGGAGGTGAAACTTGAAAATGTGGCTATTAAGCTTTTCGAGCAACTGCTTTTCAGGGGGATTTTTATGGGAAGAATATGAATTTTAGGCATGTGCTTACTAAGGTGGACACGAGAACCCTTAGAAACCTTCTCTGACTAGGGGGGTAAATAACTGGGGTTTTTTAATGTCCAAATATGCATTTATTCCCCCAATAAAGGCCTGATTCTGCAGTCACTTCATAATTCCCCCTCACTTCAGTGGGCTCATTCAAGGAATGAGGTTAATCAGGGACTGAGGTTGATCATATGTGCAGTTCCAGATTTATCCCTAAACGAGTTGGAAGTTGCTCCCCTCTGTAAATGGGGAGTGTGGCCACGTGCAGAGAACACCTGAAATTTCCTGCAGCTGCAAAAAAATATGTTTGGGGGTTTTTTTTGTGGTTTTTTTTTTCCTTTATTCTCAGTTTTTAAGACACAGACAAATGATGTGTGTAAATTCAGTTTAAATGAATAAGATTTATAGGGGGAAGGAATTGTTGCAGTGTGGAAATTCAGGATCTTGCAAAGGCTAAAGGGGGATTGGTTTATTTTCTGGCCTTCAGTAGGATATTTTAATGGTAGAAGTAAAATATTTTAATGGTAGAACTTCCCACTTCTCATTTTCCACGTCTTTTATGAGTGTTTGCCTTACGAGTGTTTATTTTGCTGACGCTTATTCACCACACGTTCATTTAATCTCCACAATTAAGTTTATTTTGAAAGCATTTAAGGGTGCAAACAACTATTCCTGTCAGAAAAGTTGCTTATGGGTGTGTTTAGAGTTAATATCTAATTATTAACTCTAATTATAATTTTTTTAGTCTCAATATACAGAATATAACCCCCATAATCAGTGTTTGAGTGTGATGTGAGCAAGGAGATAACAAACAGTGATGATCAGAACAGACTTTTCCACCCTAAAAACTTTGCACAGGAAACTTTAATCCTTAAAATATAGCAAATATCTAATTTTTATGTGGGTTTCATTGTTCTGTTGGTGGTTTTCCTGGCATGGCCATGATGTAAAGCTCCCTTTTGGAAGTGTTTTCTGCTCATAGGATTTTCTGTAGGTACAAACTTCAGTGTTTAAGGGCATAATTCACCCCTTGATTTATTTGACTAACTATTAAAAGTAATGGGAATGGTGCCTGTGCTCACCCCCACACACAAATACTCTTGAATAAAGTTATTTTTGATATAAACATTTAAAAAAAAGAAAGGAAACCCCAGTTGCTGGTCCATAGTCCATCCAGCTTTTTGGGGATCCACAGAAGGCACGTAGGGAAACTAAGTTTGAATTTCTTTTAAAAGTTCAACCTTAATTTATGTGATTTTGATTTTACACCAAGAACTGAAAATTAAAGAAAAAAAAATACACCAAAAGGTGTCACATCATATATTTAATTAAATTTGAGGTTGGAACCCCAAAGATCTGAACAGTCCTGTAGCTTCCAATTCCATGGCTTGGATAAAAGCAGGATGGGGACAATGACTTGGTTAATGATAGTGCAGTTTAGGAGGGAGGAAAAGCATTGCCCACTAAATATTCTCGGCTTGTTGTCCAACTTCATACAGAGCAGGATGTTAAAAGGAGCCACATCCATTAGGGAAATATTCCAGAGGAACAGGCAGGATTTAATCAGCTGGAGGGTCACACCACTGTACTTAAGAGACTTTTGCATTTGGAGAAATGCAATTCCAGGCTTGGCTCCATAAATGGGATAAAAATGACCTGGAGTTGTTTGTTGTTGTTGGGTTTTGTGTTGTTTTTTTTTTTTTAAAGAAATAGCACCAAAATATAAATCTGTTCCCCATTCCACCCTCTCTCATCCCACTGCTCCCCTTCCCATCCCATTCCACCCTCTCCCATCCCACTGCTCCCCTTTCCCATTGTGCTGCTCCACTTTCCCAGCCCACTTCTCCCATTCCCATCCCAGTGCTCCCCCTTTCCTATCCCACTGCTCTCTTTCCCACCGCTTCCCTTTTCCCTCTGCTCCCCTTTTCCCACTGCTCCCCTTTCCCATTCCACCCCTTCCCATCCCTCTGCTCGCTCTTTTCCCATCTCTCTGCTGCCCTTTTCCATCCCACTGCTCCCCCTTCCCATTCCACTGCTCCCCCTTCCCATCCCACTGCTCCCTGCTTTCATCCCCCTTTCCCATCCCACTGCATCCCTTTCCCTCTGCTCCCCTTTTCCAATCCCTCTGCTCCCCTTTTCCCATCCCTCTGCTCCCCTCTTTTCCAATCCCTCTGCTCCCCTTTTCCCATCCCTCTGCTCCCCTTTTCCCATCCCTCTGCTCCCCTTTTCCCATCCCTCTGCTCCCCTTTTCCTGTCCCTCTGCTCCCCTCTCCACCCGCTCCCCATCCCACATCTCCCCCCCAAATCTGAGCAAACACTGCCCCTGGTATTGTAAAGCTTTGAATGTTTTCACACCCCATTAATTTATTACTTCTCTTTCCTCATCTTTAAATTTTTTTCTCCCTCTTTTTTTTTTTCTTCCTTTTCCCGTATCCCTTTTTTTTTTGCTGTTTTTTTGTGGGTTTTTTTTTTTTGTTAAATTCCGACTCCCCGCTGCTACAGCGATTTTCATCTTGTTGTTAATTTTCCCTGCTCCATATGGAGCTCCAGACATTTCACCTGGAGGCTGTACTAGATTTTGCTGTAGCGATCGCACTTCCGGAGGCCAAAACTGTCATTTAAGGATCCCGGTGCATCTGTCTCCGCCAGGCTTTTCCTTTGCTTTTTTTTTTTTATTATTTTTTTTTTCCCTGGCATCGGGAGAGTGTGAATAACAAATTGGATGCACCTGAGATTCGGATGATTAGTGTGTTTTCCGAAGCCTGGGCGACTTGTAAGCAGATCGCTGTAGGGATGGGGAGGGCTAAAGAGCCACCCCGGGTGAATCCCCGCTCGCACCTCCCATCCCGGAGCGTCCCGGCAGCCGGAACGCCGAGAGAGCCACCGAATATTTCATCCTGCCTTGTCATTGATTAGAAAAAGAGCCTTTAATTTCATTTCACCCCATGTTGTGATTAATTTGCATTCTTTGTCAGAAGTTAATGGAGTTTTTTATGGTTCGCTCTGAAATCCTTGAAGACATCGGAGTTGATCTGATGTTTATACAACCGCCAGCGGAATTTCTGCCTGTGATTGATGGGGAGCTTGATGTTATTCCAAACGGCTTTTTAAGCTGTTTTTAAGAATTATTTGAATAAAATGCAAGCAAGATATTGTTATAACGAGCAAGATTATCTGTTAAAAATCTGTTTCAAATAAAGAACATGATAAGTGGCGAGGGGGCGGGGAGGAAAGAAAAAGAGATCAGAAAGACAGGAGAAATGATGGGCACGGGGGATGATGTTTGTTAAAATACGTTGGCCAGGGATTCAAAAGAAGTTATTTCAAAATACCACAGACC